ATGTTCTTTTATATATAAAAACCACCAATTTAAAAAAAAATTTGTTTTCAATATGCTTTTATTTGACTTATTTTACTTTATGTTTTTTATATTTTACTGATAATATTTATTTTCTTATATTCTAATTAGGGTATGGGTAGAAAACAATAAACAAACCATAGTACTCTTTGTTTATTTTATTTTATTTAAAAATAATGATTGGAGCGTTCTTTCCACCACCCCCCTTCCCCCCCTTCTCTCCCTTTCCGCCATCCTCGTTTCCCTCCTCGTCCTCCACCAAAGTCCTTTTTTCCCCTTCCTCCGCGACTGTATTATAGTGGCTTTATTTCTTGTTTTAATAATTTTATCTGTAAAATGAAACATAATCATAATTATTATAGTACTCATATGGGTGTTGATTCCACGCTTAGAAATCGCAATTATACGTGTTTACTTACTTCTTTTTTATATTCTTGTTCCCTTTTCTCTGCTGCTGCTGCTATACTTTTCTCCTTGCTGTTTTCTCCTCCTTCTCTGTTTATTTGTTCCTAAACATACGTATAGTAAATTAACTTCTTATTTCATACAGTAAGGAAGACACGAATGTGTAGTGATTGAATTCATTAAAATATGTATTTCTATCGTTTTAAAATATAACAATTTGTCGAAATCTTTATGTTAATTTTTCAACTTTTTTATGTGAGTCTGTAATGACAATTTAAAATATGTCTTTCGTAAAATCAGATAAGTTATGTATATGCTAAAAATTTCATCGAGATCGGTAGGTAATTAAAATTTCCGAAAATCGTGACTTTTCATCTAAAAATAAGAATATAACTAATCGAAATTCACACAATACATAGAAGAATAATAGTGTTATAATGAGCGTGAAGGTACTTACATCATTATTTTGTGTATTTTGTTCATTTTTCTTTTTTACCTGGCTCTCCGCCATGGTACAATCCATTTTTTCCTAAAAATATGCACAGTAAATAATAAAAACTTCTTATTTCATAAAATAAGGAAGACACGAATGTATGTGCGTCTTGAAGGTACTTACCATCTTGGATTTCTGATGCTCTCTCTGATTTTCTTTTTTTTTCCGCACAACGGTGAACATGCGCAAGAAAGCAATAGAGTTTTCAATACAGTTTTCATTTGTTGTGTATAATTTATAACTTTTGAACTATTTCATTTTTATACATTATTGTGCTAATTGTGTGAATATGGAACGAAAAGAAGAAAGTGAAAATGCAAGATGCAGAATGCATTTGAAAGGGAATAAGAAAAATCGGAGTTATACCATATTTGCAAAGCGTGTATCTAAAAATAAAAAACGGCAAGAAAAGTAAGTTATATTTTATATTATAGATTTGCATGAAGTCATTATTTTTCGATGCAGTAATATCATGGTATTTTATAATATGTAATACAATATTACATATTCCCTTCTCTCATTTTTTATATTGGAGCTCTCCTTTGCGCGTTCGGCACCTACCATCATGTCGCGTACCATTGACTCCAATCCTCGGGCCCCTCTCCGCTATTTGTCTTCCATTCACATGTTTTGAAATTTTATTAGTATTGTAGCGAATACATATCCAGCAAAATTTCGCGTCGATCGTGCGTACGAGAACGTTCGCGACAAAAGACGATCTCGCCGTATTTATTTATAGTAATAAATATGATTTCTCTAATATTGACCATTTTATTTACATTTTCAATATTGTACCATGAAATTACTAAATCAATTCTAAACTGTAAATTTACGCATTATGACTTGAGCTTCGCTCTTATCGGCCGTCCCGCGATGCCCGCGTTTTTTTAATCTTAGTTACGGTTACAATGTCTGTTATAAATTATCGTTTGTTACAAACTCGGATTGTTATAAATCAGAGCTGTGCAAGATTTCCACTTTTCAGCCTATTTTCAGCTTGCTCCGCCAACCGCTATTCCCCTTGCCGCGACGTTCAGCGCGCAGCGTACGAAGCATTCAAGGCTCAAGAGCGTATCACTCGTAAACATATGCTGGCAACCACTTTAAAAAAAACGCATCGACAATAGTACCTCGTGGGTGAGGTGAAAAGCTATTGCCAGCGTACGTTTATGAGTGATACGCTCCTGAGCCTCAAACGGATCGTAGGTTGCCTGCTGAACGTCGCGGCAAGGGGAATAGCTGTACGCGGAGCCACCTGAAAATCAGCTGAAAAGTGCAAATCCTACCGAGCTCTGTTATAAATAATCCGACGTACATATATCGTGTTTCGACTGAATTGTCACGTGAAAAATTGCAACAATACGGCCCTGATCCATTGAAACATTGGCAATTTTACGCTGCTCCGGCTCTCACTCCATCTTTCTCCTTTAGAATAGAGGTCCGGAAAATGAGTGAGAGGTCTGTGAAAGCGAGAAGCCGATGTTTTGTTTGGGTGACGGCAATTAGTAGAAGAACGATGGAATATACTGTAGCGGCAACGCTGCTACCATGCCCTCGACCCTAAACCAGGGAAAGTTTACGACAAGGGACTTGGCGAGCTTGGTTACCGTTAATTTTAACATCTGGTGACCACTCGCCAGGTCCAACATGTTTTCCGTGGACATGACAGTCCGTTTGGGGTTTTTCCTAAATCGCGGCGATTTTGCCGCCTTTTTCGTAGGCGCGGCGTGCTCGCTGTCCTTGTCTAGGGGTACAGTATTTAACCCTGGGCAAGCGACGACGAGCCGCCACTTAAAAGTAAGGTTTTGTCAAGCGCGTATGGTGTGCACGTCACTCCGTAACGTGTAAGTTTGGAGTTAATAAATATCGAGTGAGAGAAAGGAAGAAGTAACATTTACATTTCCTACCCCTTTCATCAACTCTCCTCAATACTTTCTCATTCTACTATTAGCTATTCTGATGTGTTCCAAGCCTCTCATGCTATCCTTCTCTTTTACGACCCTCTTTTACTACAAAAGAGAGCCGCGGCGACAGAGTCTTGCCGCCCAGTCATAGAATTTCGAGTATCCTCGACGGTCATTGCAACATTTCGATTCCGACCACAGTCGCAATCTCGGAGGAATTACTATACTGCGAGTAACAACACTATACAAAATATACGAAACTCCTTGTCGATGCGCCAGTGAAAAAGAGTTTCACAATTAAATTTTCTTTATTTCTTCAAGAGTGGCATTTAAAACATCTTTTTGTATATTACATATCCATTTATGTATATCAATAATTTAGGGAACATTTTGAATATTTGTAATTACATGTCCTGTGTATTATTTAAAACCTAGCAATAATTATATAACATTCGTACACAGATGTGCACTAATATTTCGTCAAAAGGAATAAGAGGGAGTGTAACACGCAATTAGTAAATTGGTGCATGTTTCGATCATGTGCTTCTACATGCCTTCGGAAACGCATAGTGCGAGAATGAGAGGGCATGCTATATTCTATCCTTGTTCAAAAAGTAACATCGCTGCTCGGCCGATCGCTTTATGATTTACCACTACCTCGGATCTCTCACTCGTTTCTCGCGTTCTCTATCGTCCCGTTTCGATAACAAAGTCAAGCCGAATAGCATACTTACCTGCTTCGAAATAAGCAACTGTTCTGTCCCGAGCCACTTGCTTATTTCGAGGCAATCCTGTATGACTCGAATGTGTCGGATTACCCGTCACGATCAAGCTATCAGCTGCGATCAAGGTACAGTATAGACTCGTTATAAGCAAAACGCTCGGGACCGGACTTTTGCTTATAACGTGTAGTTCCACCATTGTTTGATATTTGCCGACTGCTTCGAACGTAGAAAAGAACCTTGAGTGAAAAAGAGGACAGAGCGAAAACAAACCGTTCTATGTCGGTGAGGCAACTTAATTTTGTTATTTTTCATTTTTTTTTTATAAAACTTTTTCTATAACATTTCTGACATTTTTCTAATTAAAATGATACCAAACACGATATAATTCGGACCATATTTACTTCAAACAACTTATTATGTATCATTATCATTTCTATTAAATTAGAAAAAAGTTTTATCTCAAGTATCTGTTCAATCAGCTACAGTATCACAATAACCAGTTTTTATTAGATTATATAAATATTTGTATTTCTTTAAAAAATGATAGTTTCATTTTTCTTATGAAACTATCTTAGTCTTATTAGTCTTATTAATGGAACTCATTTTATTCTTAGATTTGTTACAATGTTTTGATAAATGTTGTACATCTGTTTTCTGTTCCTCTAATGTCCTGTTATTTAGGTGTTTGAACTTGTCTCGCCTAAAAGAAATGAACTTTGGATTATGTTTAGAACAACATGACGTATTAATAATACTTAATTTTTTGAATAAGCTGTCTTACCTAAGAATAATAATTTCATTGCTTCTAGAAGCAATTCAGACGAACGCGGGATGCGGTTTTTATAACGCTCCAAACGTCTGAAAATATCTTCCAATTCCTGTCTTTCTTCTCTGTTTACTAGGATCCCACGTTCTTGTGTTCTGTTACTTTGGTTCCTTTCTTCTTCCTGTTCTTCTTCCCATGGTTCTTCTCTTTCTTCATCCTTGTCTTTGTCCCTGCTTTCGTCCGTATCATCAATCTTTCTTGAATATGTTTCTTCCTCCTCACTACACTCGTTCAAATATTCTTCAACTTCTTCGGAGGTTACATTATGCTCCGAAATGCTCGTCAAAAGTTGTTGCATTTCCGGTACAAGGTTTTCCTCCTCTTCTTGTTCTTCTTCTTCATCTGTTTTTGAAATGATTTTGTTCCAACAATTTCTGATGTTACTGCATGTCACTTCGCTCCAAGCTTCACTAATCATGTCTATGCAATCTTTTATTGCGTATGTTTTAAAAAATTTTTCTGCACCACTTCCGTAAGTAACAAGCCGCTGTGTTAATTTATGGCGGAAACTGCGTTTTAATTTAGCAATAATTCCTTGATCCATTGGTTGGATCAAGGATCTGGTGTTAGGTGCTAAATATTTGATTACAAAATGGTCATCCTGCACGTAATTTATTGGTAGTTTATGACTCGCACAATTGTCAATTATTAACACAACTTTTCCGCATAATCAATTTTCTAATTGATATTGTCTAGCAGACTTTTTAAAACAATTATCCACCCAATCTAAGAATAAAGTTTGGCTCATCCATGCATTAGCTTGAGCCCGAAACACTACCGGAAGTCGATTCATAAAATGTTTTAATGCCCTTGGCTGTTTATATTTATAAATTAAAAAGGGCATAAGTTTATGTGTTCCGGTTGCATTGGCGCACAGTCCTATCGTGAGTCTTTCTTTTTTCATTTTATGGCCATTTACACACTTTTCCGTTGCACTCACCAGAGTTTTCAGTGGCAAAGCCTTCCACAGCAGTGCACTTTCATCCATGTTGTATACGTTTTCAGGATTTATTTCTTCGTCGTCCATGAAAGTTTGGAAGTCAGCCACAAATTGACGTGCTCCATCTTCATCGGCACTGGCTTTTTCACCGTATACACGAACTAATCTGATGTTGTTGCGTCTTTTAAATTTTGCGAGCCATCCCTTGCTCACTTTAAATTGGGAAGGGGCTCCAAACTCCTCTTTCAATTCGGTTGCTTTTTCTATTAGCAGCGCGTCTGATATGTAGTCTCCTACAGTTCTCTTTTCTATAAACCATTTCAACAGGCGTTTCTCCAATTCCTCGAACATTGGTTTTCTGACCCTCTGTCGTCGCTTTGCCTTGGAATCTTGGTCTTCAAATTCAGTAATCTCCGCCGCTTTTTGTTTTATACGACGAACAGTGGTGTAGTACACACTATATTTTGCAGCGACAGTTGCGATGGAAGATGTCTCTAGATCCTTGAGAACGTCCAGTCGCTGTTGCATCGTTAACGACACTCTTTTTACACCTGCCATCACTATAGCTTACACCAACACTAAATATAAATTACAACTAATCAAAAAGTAGAAAAAAAGCTAAGTCTAATTGTTCTTATAAATAAGGGCTCGAAAGAGTTTTTATCAGATTAGCTCATACTGCACGCGAACTTGTAACACTCACAGAATTGTATTTTAATCGTACTTCGAACTCGCGGCGATGGCTCAAGAAGAAGTGTCAAGTCTAACGAACCGTGGTCGTCCACTTCCCCGATTTTCGCCACCCAACCATCCTTGCGCCCTTAGCGTGATTTTTCCTTGGCGAGGGTGGGGCGCTACCTAAGGATGCGTGAAAACCTCGATAGTCGTGGTTTTTCCACCTAGGTTGACCCTCGAAGGCCAAGTACCGTTGGTCGACCGCTGTCGCATTTACCCTTCGGAAAAACCGTTTATGACATGTTTTTAGCCATTGAGAACGAAACGAAATTAGAAATTCTAAATGCATTGTGTGAAAAAGGTAAATGACTATTGCCGGCAATAGTGAAAATATCTAAAAACTCAAAAAGGTTCAACATTAAATAGACTTTCTAAAGGTCAAGGCCCGTAAATTCAGAACGTTCATTTCGGACATTCGGATTGTCCACAAGCTCGCGACAAGTGATTTACAATCTTATACGGGCTCTTCTTATATTTTTCTATACGAGTCTTAGCCGGTCTAAACAAACGCCCAAACCTTCCTGTTGGGTTGGCTTCGCGTTTCTTCATGATTTACTCATCTGTATCTCAGACAAGCCCCCTGCCGTGTATGTGTCGGCGAGTCACCACCAACCCTAACAGGGGCTCTGAACCGTCTTGCGCTCTGTCCCAGGTACCACCGGACACCAAGACCATAAACTGTCATAAATGTCATAAACCGCCATAAACTGTCTTTCGAAATCCTCGCACATTGTGTTTCGCATCGGACCGAACAAATATACACGGTAAATATGATCCGAATTATATCGTGTTTGGTATCATTTTAATTAGAAAAATGTCAGAAATATCATGGAAAAAGTTTTATTAAAAAAAAATGAAATATAGCAAAATTAGGTTGTTGCATTAGTGTTGCCTCACCGATATCTGATCCAAGATCATGTTACGCTACTCGGCGAGCGAGCTTCCCGACGTCTCGAGGGGTATACCCCCCAGTGGTGGGGATGGTTTCTTTGCAAATAGCGTAGAGATCTTTTTAGCTTATAACGAGTCTATACTGTACTCGAACATTTGAACAGTTGGGTTTCTTTCTCTCTCTCTCTCTTTCTCATGCACACTCGCCTCATTCGTTCAATTTCACACTTATTCGGTCGCCGTAACTTTTGAATAGTCCTGCCTTCCGTAATAAGCAATTGTTTTTATATGGTACCTGCATGTGTGTGTGTGTTATTTCTACTTAGGCGACGTTTGAAGAAGGCAGCGTACCTCGCGGTAGCGTACCTCAGAGCACCTGTACCGTAGACGATGCAGGTACCAGCTCTTTCGAAATGCTCCGACACTCGCCTCTTGCGACTGATTATTCTGCGATTGAAGAACCTTCCACTTCTTATGAGCTGCTGCCACACTCGCCTGCTGCTAACGATTTTTCTGTGATTGAAGAACTTTCCACCTGTTATGAGATGCTTCCACACTCGCCTGCTGCGAATGATTTTTCGATCGCGGAAGCGTATGAAGAAAACGGGGAAGAAATTGAAGCGTATGAAGAAATCGTGGAAGAAATTGAAGCGTATGAAGAAAACGTGGAAGAAATTGAAGCGTATGAAGAAATCGTGGAAGAAATTGAAGCGTATGAAGAAAACGTGGAAGAAATTGAATCTGATTTAGAAGATTACGCATTAATAGAAACAGCAGAACCACCGCAGTTAGAAGAAAAATCAGCTTCTAACGGGATAGATTTCGTCGATTTTCAACATGTTTTCAAGCAAATAATACAGCTTGGAAAACATTCAAGTATCGGCTGTGGCGTCGAACACTTCCAAATAATTGGATGTCAACAAAACGGACTTGAAAAAAAGTATAAAGTAAAATGCCAAATGTGTAATCACTTTGAGTGCGTATCGTGCCTTCAGAACAGTGATAACACGATGGACATCAACCGCAGCGCTGTTTCCGGTACAATGATGACAGGCGGCGGATACAATCAACTAGAAGAAATACTTTCTGGCATGAACGTGTCCTGCATGAGCAAGAGAATTTACGAAAAATGCCAAGATGAAATAATCGATGCGTTCGAATTGGCTGCGCAACGAGAAATAGAAGACGCAGGGAAATTAGAAAAAGAGCTAGCCATAGCAAGAGGCGATATGCTTCCAGGCTGTAATATACCATGCATTCCAGTTGTCGCAGATGGCAGCTGGGTGAAGAGATCATACCGTGGAGGTGATTACAACTCTCTGTCTGGTGTAGGAGCCATCGTGGGATACCACACCAAAAAGGTGCTTTACATCAATGTAAAAAATAAATTTTGTATAATTTGCCAAACCGCTGCCAAGAAGAAGAGGCACGGCAGCATTGTTGCTTTAAAAATTGGGGTCGTAACCAGAATTCAACTGGTATGGAAAGTGCTGCTATTGTAGACGGATTTAAATGCAGCATAGAAATGCACGGCCTGATATATTCAACATTAGTTGCCGATGGAGATAGCAGCGTGTACAAAAAGATATTGGACAATGATCCATACAAAGAATATATGGTGCATGTACGAAAAATTGAATGTACCAATCACCTGCTACGCAACTTTAGTAGAAAAATAAATGAGATCGCCACAAAAGGCCGCTTCAAGGAACTACGAGCTATTGTAAAAGAGAATACCCTTCGCCTGCGCACTGGTGTGAAAAAAGCTGCAGAGTACCGATTCAAAGAGAAAGTAACACTCGCTGATCAAATAAAAAATTTAAAAACAGATATGAAAAATGTAGCGAGTCATGTTTTTGGTGAACATCAGGAGTGTCAACGAATAGCATACTTCTGCAACAAATATTTTGACCCGAACAGAGTGAACTATGTTCCACAATTGAAAGAATGCGGTATTTATCAAAGCATTGAAGAAGCGATGCAACCGCTCTTTCCTCAAGCTGAAAGCTTGTTATATGGATTAAATAACAATGCAGTGGAGAGTTTCAATAACATAATTGCGAAATTCATCGGTGGCAAAAGAATAAACTTTGGACGCAAGGGCTCGTACCAGGGTAGAGTCTCTGTTGCTGTTCTTCATTTAAATTCAAGAGAGTCGTTCAGCCGATTGAGTGCTGCTATGAACAAGGAACCGACAGCCATCGTACAAAATATGGAACAACGACGTAAGCATGCATCGCAAATGGCAGCTAAATATAAGCAAAATGTCAAAGCATGTTCTTCTGGATACGAAAAGCAATCGTGCGACAAAGATTACGGCCCCACGGCAGAAAAACCAGACATGGAAGAAGCAGTATTCTCTTCTGAGTGTGTGAA